CACACAGCAGCGTCTCTTAGTGCCACTGCCTAGAGCCAAGTCTGACGGGCCAAAGGAGCTGTGAGTGTCCACACACCATCCACATCTTGCACACGAGAAACCAGAGGCTCTGAGAGGATCCTGTGGTTCCACCCGCTGGCCTGGGTTAGCGCACTCTACCTGTCCAGACGGCACACTGCTCACTGCCCACTGTCAGCTGCCTGGGCTAGTGCCTGTGCCACCAGACTCCACACTGTTGCCCCAGGATAGGCCTCCATGATGCTGCTTCATTGGCCCCTGCCTCCCCGGAGTGCAGCGAGGGGCCGACTCCCCATCTCAGCACCGGAGGAATGAGCCACCCGGTGGCCCCCACACCTGTATCTCTTGTCATCCAGGGGCACGAAGTCCATGAGCAGGGCGTAGTCAGCCAGCGAGTCCATGCCCAGGATCTTCACCTGGAAGGTGGGGAACATCCTCCTGCCAGGGGGAGGTGCCCAGCAGCCTGAGTGCGGCCCCAGCCTGGCCCGGCCGCACCCGCACGCTCACCCGCCCCTGCCCCTCACACCTGCCTGCCTTGGTGACGATCATCTCTGTGCCCAGCTGGTTGAACTCCTCCCACAGAGCCTTCATCTCCAGCTGGACCGTCACGCTGGACACGTGCGGGTTCTTGGGGCCCTGCCCGGTGGGCTCACCCATGGCTTGGGCCCCTGTGGAGCCGGTGGAAAGGCCTGATGGGAACGGAGAAACCAGCCGGGGCTCCCAGCTGGAGCTGCTCATGGGCAGGGGGTAGGTCTCGGAGGCTGCAAGTACCCCAAGGCCTGCGGAGAGGAAGGCTGGGGAGAGAGGACAGAAGCATGGGCCCTGCTCGCCCCCACTCCACCCAGCGAGCCCTCAGCCTCCAGGCTGCATCTAGGTGCCTCTTTCTCCAGGAAGTCCTCCCTGACTGCCAGGTCTGTGTGTTCCCACAGTTAACGTGACTCGGCATCACCTCGTAAGTGAGTGCTCTGCCCCACTCACTTATCAAACCTCAGAGGGAAGGTAGGGAGGGTGGGGGTAAGGGGGAGAGATCAACCAAAGGACTTGTATGCATGCATATAAGCCTAACCAATGGGCACAGACACCAGGGGGGTGAGGGCATGAGCTGGGGGGAAGGGGGAGATAAGGACACATACTAGTATGTAATAGCTTAATCGATAAAGAAAATTAAATTAAATAAATAAACAAAAAGCTCCTGGAGGCCGGAGACCAGGCCTGGCTGGCTCCCCAGGGGACCTCGGAGCTGACAGGTGGCCGAGAGCAAATGGTTTCACTTCCCAGAGCCTCAGTTTCCACATCCATCACCAGGGCTTCGTCGTAATACCTGCTTCCTAGGGCTGGTGTGAGGATCTGTGAGGACACCTGCAGGGCCGGGCACACAGTAAGCCCTTCACAAATGACACATAATATAGATAATGGGACGCCTGAGATTGGGGTGCTTGGGGTGGGGTCTGTCTCAGCTCCGTGGAGACCCCACAGCCTTGTCCCCTGAAGAAGAGCTGCTCTGAGAGGAGATCCCCCACGTGACCACCAATTGCTCTTACCGTCTCTGACCTGGAAAACCCGCCGGAATCCTGCCTCCGGGAGCCAGCTTTCTGCTCTGGCCTCCTCACTATTTTCTCAAGATCCTGCCTTTTGACCTGCTATCCTGGCACAAGCCTTGGCCAAAAGCTTTGTTGTGGGGAGCCGGCACGGCCATGGCATACTCATGCCAGCTCAGCCTGGTTCGGTGACCCTGAGTGGGGGCGATGAAAGGCTTAGAAAAGACAGACAAGAGAAGGAAAGCCGGGTCTCGGTGGGACGCTGCCCCTCTGATGGAGAGACAGCGCCAACGCCCAGAAGCCGTGTCTTTATTTTATAGCAGATGCCGCGAGGCAAAGTAAGGGCGTGATCAAGATGTTTACAACATTCCCGTGGGTTTCGATCCTACTCAACTACATGCACCTGAACTCTATCACTCAGGCACGTGGGGCCACGTGTTCAGACCATAGGTTCAAGCTCACAGCCATAGCTGTTGGCTATAATTCTGCTGGGAGGGCTCTGCCCTCCAGCTGGGACTTGCACGTGGCCACGAGAGGACTGTGCCCTCTCCTCAGTCCGAGGCTTGAACCTGTCCAAACACTGTAGCAGCGCCCCACACTTTGTCCCCCTCCACCCTTCTGGTTAAAAAAAAAAAAAATCCTGCCCTAACCGGTTTGGCTCAGTGGATAGAGCGTCGGCCTGCGGACTCAAGGGTCCCAGGTTCGATTCCGGTCAAGGGCATGTACCTGGGTTGCGGGCACATCCCCAGTGGGGGATGTGCAGGAGGCAGCTGATCGATGTTTCTCTCTCATCGATGTTTCTAACTCTCTATCCCTCTCCCTTCCTGTCTGTAAAAAATCAATAAAATATATATTTAAAAAAAAAAAAATCCTAACTACAATGAGAGACTACTTTACACCCACGAGGATGGTGATTATCAAAACAATAACAAGACAGAAAATGATGCGTTGGTGAGGTTGTGGAGCAATTGGAACCCTGTGCACTGCTGGGGGGCCTGTAAAACAGTGCAGTCGCTGTGGGAAACAGAATGGTGGTTCCCCAAAAACTAAACTTGGGGTTACCACACTATGCAACAACCTTACTCCTAGGCATATACCCAACAGAACTGAGCAGCAACCCGAACACTTATCTGTACATCCGTGCTCACGGCAGCATTGTTCACAATAGGAGTGGTGGAAGCAACCCAGGTGCCCATGAATGGATAAGCAAAATGTGGTCTATCCAGACATTACTCACTATTCTTCAGCCCTAAAAAGAAGGAAATTCTGCCCGGCCGGCGTGGCGCAGTGGTTGAGGGTGGACCTATGAACCAGGAGGTCACGGTTTGATTCCCAGGGAGGGCACATGCCTGGGTTGCAGGCCCGATCCCCAGTGTGGGGTGTGCGGGAGGCAGCTGATTGATGATTCTCTCTCATCACTGATGTTTCTATCTCTTTCTCTCTCCCACCCTCTCTGAAATAAATAGATAGATAGATAGATATTTTAAAGAAGAAGGAAATTGAGGACATATGCTGAGTGAAATAAGCCAGACAGGACAAATACTGTACGATTCCACTTACAGGAAGTCCCTAGAGCTGTCAAATCCGTAAACAGAAAGTAGGACGGTGGGTGCCAGGAGCTGGGGGAGGGGAGGGGAAGTTCGTGTTTAAAGGGGACAGCATTTCAGTGTTACGAGATGCAAAGCGTCCTGGAGCTGATGGTGGTGACGGCGGCACAGCAGCGTGAATGTGTGTCATGCCCCTAAACTGTGCATCTTAAATGGTAATTTTAATGTTATGTACATTTTACACAATTAAACATTTTAAAATAGAAAAAAAAATCCTGAAACACAAGTGATTAGTTACTAGCCGCCCCAGGAGGAGCTGGGGATCTGGTAACACCATGGGACCCTCAGGGCAGAGGTAGAATATCGGTGTCAGATGGACAGAGAGACAGATAGGTGGGTGGAGGGAGTGTCTAAAGAGCCAGACTGGCCAGAGCTGGCACTGAGGCGGCGCCTGGTAAGAGTGGGGGCCCGGGACCACATTGGAGAAGGGGCATCTTGCTAAAGCCCCCAGTGTTCCTGGGGGCTGGGGGTGGGTGGGGTGGGATGTCCGGTCTGCCTACCCCAGTGGGCGTGACGGGTGGATAGACAGATGGCCCCCACCGTCTGGGACCAGGCCGTCGGGTGGGCAGCTGCAGGAATGACATCCAGGGATGACACCAGCCCCCAGCGTCCACGGTGGTGGGTCCCAAGGGTAGAAGCTCATGGCTTTGCTGGGCCCGGGGGCTTCCCAGCTGGCCACTGGCTCCCAAGTCTTCTCTGAGCCCCCTGCCCATCCCAGCCAATGCCCTGCCCTTCAGTGCCCTCAGAACCGGGGAGGGGCCTGTCCTCGGCCCAGTTCCCCTAAAACCAGCACCGCTCAGGTCGGGAGACGCCCATTTCCCACAGGCATCGAGTCCGTCTAGGGAGGAAGTTAGGTGCTTCTTGTCTAGCCCTCGCCTTGATGCTCAAGGGGTGCGGCCCAGAGAGGGGAGGGGACAGGCCCAAGGTCACCCATGCCTGATAAGGCGTTCACCTCCCAGAAGCAGCCTGTCCCCTGCCTGTCGGCACCCCATAACTGCACCTGGATGGCTGGGAGTCCACCAGCCCCGCCCTGACAGCCTGGGTGCCCCTGCCTCTCCCTCTTGCCTGGGCCTGGGCCCAGTGGGGTTTCCCTGCTCTGCCCCACTCACTCCGGAGCCTGAACCCACCCCGGGGCGGCCTGGGCTGCCCACACTGTACCTGCCATGCGGACGGCCCGGATGTCCAGGAGCAGCCCTGCTCAGTCCGGGCGCTGCCGGCGGGGGGCGGGGTGGGGCGGGGGTGGTCAGCCACTCCTGGTCCCCTGGCTCATTCGGCGCACAGCCCGGCTCTCAGGTGCTCACTCCGTCCTCGGCCTCCTGGCAGGACTGTCCTCCCCTCCTCAGTCGCCCGGTCTTGGTTTTACACCTGGTCTCTGCAGGTGGGACCCGGCGGTGGGCTGTGCAGGCCCCTTTCTCCACGCCACCTCACGCTGCTCTGTCTGAGGCCACTGCCAGGCTGGTCCTGCCCTGGGCGGCGCGTGTGGGAGGAGGGCAGGTGGGGAGGCTCTGACGTGGCAAAGCCTCCCTCCCCCCCTCCCGGTCCCCCTCCTGGCTCCCTCCCTTCCCCGGCTGGGAGCCCCCAGCCATTCCTGATCAATGGCCCAGGCACAGGGTGGGGGCCTATCTTGAGGACGAGCTGGGTGGTCCGCAGGGGCCCAGGCCTGGCTGACTGGAGGGGCTGGGGCCGATGGAGGCCAGGGCAGTGGCAGTAGCAGCAGGGGCTGCATGGCAGGGGCAGGGGCCTCTCACCAGGACCCAGACCCCTGACCTGGGGCTGCTGGGGTGGAGTCAGGGGCAGCTGGAGCAGGAAACCCAGGGGGCGGCAGGAGCAAGCGCTGCAGAGACAGCCCTGCCTGGGCGGGAGGGAGCCTGGTGCTCCCCATGGTTTGGCCCAATGAGCTGTGCTACACTGGCAGGTCCCTGACAATCCCTGTGCCTCGGTTTCCCGAACTGAACTAGGTGCATAATCTCTTCTGCCTGGGATGGCGGTAAGCCGGCCCCGCCCTGGCTGAGGATGGGGAGGGCGAGGCCACGGGGTGGGTGTCTGCGCTGCCCACGGGTCTGTCTATTCTCTCCAGCCAGACCAGGTACCGTCTCCAGGCTGCCCCCTGCTGGCCCTGTGCTGGGCATTCAGGGGACACACAACTACTGGCCAGGAAGGCAGAGGGTGTGCCCCCCCCCCCAAGCTGGCTGCTCTCAGTTGAGAGTGCTCTTTGGCCATGTGGTCCCTTCCACGTGGCCCAGGAAGGGGCATCGGGCTGGACGCCAGGTTAGCCCACTGGGAGGGAGCATCCCAGGCTAACCCCCAGGCCCGAGCACCCCAGGCTGAGCTGGGCACGCTCCACCCAGGCCAGCTCCTCCCAGCCCCACCCCCACTCCTCCTCCAGAGTTTGGCACTGGGGTTGGCAGAGGCCCATACCCGAGGGGCCAGCAGTGGGAGGGGCTGCTCCTCCCAGAGCCTCGAGCGGCAGGCCCACCTCTCCTCCCTCAGCTCAGGCACGCCTGCTGCTCAGTCCCTAGGCCCCCATGCCTGCCTGCCGAGCCCTGAGGGGTCCTGCAGGGAGAGGGTGGGCCGGCCCTGGCACACACCCGTGCCCAGTCCTGGGGGAAGGCTGCGCTGGCTCTGGGGTTTGCTGCTGGGCAAGATGGGTGGGAGTTCTCTGTGCTTGTGATGGAGGGTCCCAGGGGCACCCAGGGGCCACCCTGAGGTAGGGGCCCTGCCACCCCTGACCCCAGGATCCGCAGTGGGTGGAGTGGGAGGTGGGACTGATGATGGAGGGACCTGGTAGCTCCCTCTCAGCCCGGGACCTGGGGCGGGCCAGCTGGGGTTCTGTTGGCCCGTGTGTGTGTGTGTGTGTGTGTGTGTGTGTGTGTGGTGCACACGCATGCTTGTACACACCTTGGTCTGTGTATTGGGAAACACCCCCACACGTGAACATGACCACACTGACATGCCAACCCACATCACACACGTGCACACAGATACCAACCTGCCACCACCCGGGTTCACATGTGCACGCGCTCCTATGTGCACAGACACACGCTCACACACCCGCCCCCCATGCACGCACACCAGGCACACACGCACTCCTCCCTGCACAGCCCCCCCCCCTCGGCTGGCCAGCCCTTTCTGCCGGAAGCACCTCCTGGCCCCCTGCCCCCTCATCCATCTTGCCTGCCAGCCCGTCCCTGGCGTCCCCGTATCCTTCACACCTTCTCATCTCGCTGCTCAATAACAGGAGGCGGCGTGGCAGCTGTGGCCGCGGGGAGATGGATGGGCCAGGCGGGGTGTGGAGGGGCCAGGGAGGATGCCTCGAGAGCACGGAGCTCAGGCCCTAACAGCCCCACTGTCAGCAGGAGCCATGCCCTGCCGGCTCAGGCGGGTGTGGGTTCTGTGGGGCTGCGCTTGGGGCCATTCACCCTCCCCGTTCTGCCTGCCAGGACAGTGTGGCCAGGACCCCAAGGCCCCCACGGTAACCCCTGGGCACACTGCTGCCCCCTGTATGCCTGCACCTGGAACTGGGGTGCCTCGGTGGAGAAGAACTGTTTAAGCTGGATAGCCTATCCCGGGCCCTGAATTCTCTGGAGCTCCCCATGAGCTCATGACTCATCTTGTGAATCGCTCATGGGATGAGGGCCCATCAGAAGATCGAATCTGCCAGAAAAAGCCCAGGGATG